ATGTTTTATCTCTGCATTATACTTATTCTGAAAATCAAATTTATCCTTAAAAGCAATTTTGTTTCTACTGCTATTGAACAAACACAATTGGGAATATCAAAAATAAAATAAATAGTTTTTGAATAATAGAATTAATTAGAATTATTTTTGAATTTTCTCTTCCAAACCAAATTGTTTTTGGGTTACTCTGGAATTTACTAAGCTTTGTTCAATACCAAGCCTGTCTTATAATTATGGTGCTGTTTCTGCAGCTGTAACTGCAAATAAAGATCTTTATTGCTTTAATCATTACTATTCCATATTTGACCTAGCATTTACTGTAGCATTATTTTATCCAGTAGTTACTGAAGGTAATGACATATACTGTATCAGTGACAAGTTACACCATCTACACATCAAAAATACTTCATTAAGCATAAAATACCTTAGGATGACCTGAGTTCATGAAAGATGCTATGTGAATGCAAGTTCTCATTAATGTTCATTTACTTGCTCATGAGAATGGAACAATGACTCATCTTCAGTATAGAGTCCTCGGTTGTTCAGCCCTTTTGATTAGAGCTGAAGTTAACATTACAGAATGATGTCAAACTGGTTTATCAAAAGAAACAAAAGTCAACATTGGAACCATGAATGGAATTCAAGTATAATTTGAGCAACAAAGAAATTGTACAGCAACAAAACATACGTTGAGATCAGACACTCCAAAAATGTTGCAGAACCAGCTCATAGCGACTAAATATGAGATCAATAAACACATTTTAAATGGCAATGCAGGGTTGCTGATTGCAATAATTAGCAGTGCTAGAGACGGGAGGAAATCAGCAGTCTGTTCCAAAAAGATTCTGATCTCAGTCTTATTGGGAGACCCTTCTCTGTAACTGCTATTAAATGGAGAATGGAAACATTGGCAGAGGCACCAGGAGAAGCAATGAGTTTTTGCACTTTCTCAGCTTCATTGACAATGGGAAAAATATATGCCATGGCAACTTTTTTTATTCATTCATGGGATGTGGGTGTCACAGGCTGGGCCAGCATTTACTGCCCAACCCCAGCTGTCCTTGAGAAAGTGATGGTGAGCTGCTTTCTTGAGCCATTGCAGACCTATTGGTGTAGGTAGACCCACATTGCCATTAGAGAGGGAATTCCAGGGTTTTGACCTAGTGACATGAAAGGAATGGTGATGTTTTTATTCATTCATGGGACATGAGCATCACTGGCCAACGTTTATTAGCCATCCCTAGTTGCCCAGGGGGCAGTTCAGAGTCAACCACATTGCTGTGGATCTGAAGTCACATGCAGGTCAGTCCAAGTAAGGATGACAGTTTCCTTCCCTAAAAGACATTAGTGAGACAGTTTGGTTTTTCGAACAATTGATAATGGACTCATGGCCATCATCAGACTCTTAACTCCAGATTGTTTTTTGAACTCAAATTTCATCATCTGCTGTGGTGGGATACAAACTAGAGTCTCCAGAATGTTACCTTGGTCTGTGGATTAGCAGTCTAGCGATAATACTACTAGGTCAATGCCTCCCCAATGTATTTTGAAGTCAGGACATGCAGGTGGTGGTGTTCTCATGCATTATCTGCTTTGTCCTGGATTGTGTCAATCTTCTTGAGTGTTGTTGGAGCTGCCCTCATCCAGGCAAGTGGGGACCATACCATTACACTCCTGACTTGTATCCTATAGATGGTGGACAGGCTTTGAGGAGTCAGAAGTTGAACATAGTGCAGTCATCAGCAAACATCCTCATTTCGGATTTTATGACTGAAGGAAAGTTATTGATGAAGCAGCTGAAGATGGTTGGGCATAGGACACTATCCTGAGGAACTGAAGGTCTCTTGTGATGAAGTTGTAATGTCCCTGCCTCTAAGCCAGAGCACCTGGGTTCAAGTACCACCAATTCCAGAGGTGTGTTTTAAGGTTATCTATCTTGAGGAACTTCTGCTGAGATGACTGGCCTCCAAAAACCACAATTGTTTCTGTTTGTGCCAATAATACTCCACATATAAACAGTTTTGCCCTGATTCCATGGAATCCAGTTTTCTTAGAGCTCCTTAATGTCACACCTGGTCAAATGCAGCCTTGATGTCAAGGGCTGTCACTCTCACCTCATCCCTGGAATTCAGCTGTTTTGTCCATGGAGTCATACAGCATGGAAGCAGACCCTTCAGTCCGACCAGCCCTTGCTGAACATAATCCAAAACTCAACTAGTCCACCTGCCTGTTCCTGGCCCATTTCCCTCCTGTTCATGTACTTATCCAAATGTCTTTTTAATGTTCAGGAAGTTCATTCCACACACAAAATACCCACTGTGTAAAAAATTTGCCCCTCATGTCTTTTTTAAATCTTTCTGCTCTTACTTTAAAAATGTACTGCCTAGTTTTGAAAACTCCATCCTAGGGAAAAGACAACTACCATTCACTCTATCTATAACCCTCATTATTTTATAAACTTCTATAAGGTCGTTTCGCAACCTCCTATGCTGCAGTGAAAAAAGTCCCAACCTATCCAGCCTTTCTTTATAACTGAAACTTCCCATTCCTGGCAACATCCTGGTAAATCTCTACTGAACTCTCTCCAGCTTGATAATATCCTTTCTATAACTGGGTGACCAGAACTGGACACAGTATTCCAGAAGAATTCTCACCAATGTCCTGTAAAACCTCAACATGATTTCCAACTTCTAGACTCAAAATCTGATTTTCTGAAGAAGGGTCTAGGCCCGAAACGTCAGCCTTCCTGCTCCTCTGATGCTGCTTGGCCTGCTGTGTTCATCCAGCTCTACACCTTGTTATCTCAGATTCTCCAGCATCTGCAGTTCCTACTATCACTGCAGAATGATAGGCGTTTTCAGGCAACTTGTTCCAAAATGTTATCACAGCTTCTGCAACAAATGGAACTTGAATCCAGGTTTCTTAACTTAGATGTAAAGACACCACCAGCGCAACACAAGTGCCCCTTTTTGATAAAAATATGCTTATTTTTATCATAAGAAGACTTGAGCAGAAGAGTAAAGATTCTGAATTTATAGAACCTTGGTGACATGCACCTAGTGTATTGTTTGCAGGTTTGGTCCCCTTATCTAAGGGAGAACATTCTTTCCATAGAGTGTGTACCATAAAGGATCACCAGACTGATTCCTCAGATAGTGGTACTGTCCTTTGAGAGTTGAACAAGGCTGGGCCTGAATTCTCTGGTGTCTTAAATAATGAAGAATAGTCTCATTGTAACTTACAAATTTCTTAAAGAGATAGATAGGGTGGATGCCAAAAGATTGTTTCTTCTGGTGGGTGTGGAGGGATGGTCTAGAACAAGAGGGTATAATCTTAGAATAAGGAATGGCCTGTTTAGGATTGAGATGAAGAGAGATCTTTCCACTCATAACCTTTAGAATTCTCTACCCTAGAATTCTATGGAAGCTTAATCTTGGGCATCTTCAAGCGGATATTGATAGATTTTTGGATACTAATGCAATCAAAGGATATTGGGATAGCGTAGGAATTTGGCACTGATGTAGGTGACCAGTCATGGTCTAAAATGTTGGAGCAAGCTTAAGGGCTCAATGGCCTACTCATCCTTCCCTGATCCTAAAAGTAGAGATGTTTTGCTGCAGTTGTGCAGAGTTTTGCTGAGACCATAACCAGAGGAGCATGTTAGAGTTTCTGTTTCCTTATTTCAGAATGTACTTAATTGCATTAGATGCAGTTTAGAGAAGGTTCCCTCAACTGATTCCTGTGATGGCGATGGGGATATTATCTTATGAGGAGATGTGGGGCACGTTGAGCCTGTATTCAGTGGAGCTTTGAAGAATAAGAAGTGATCTAATTAAAGCCTTGGGAGTATTGATGGTGAATGTGGAAGAACTGCAGGACGTAGTTTAAAAATAAGAGTCTCCCACTAAGAATGAAGTTGAGGAGAAATTTGTTTCCTTCATAGGTTTGTGAGCCTGTGGGACTCTCTTCCCTGGAGACTGTTGCAGGTAGGGTCATTGAATATTTTTAAGGCAGAGATAGACAAATTCTTGACTAACAAAAGAGTCAAAGGGTATCAGGGTGAAGCAAGAAAGTGGAGTTCAAGCCTCAATCAGATCACACATGTTTTATCAAATGGCAGAACAGGTTCAAGGGGCCAAAGTACCTATCTCTGCTCCTAAATTGTACATTCATACAATTAAATACAATGCATAATGATTATATCTGATAACGTGACTCCCAATATATAATAAGGAAGGGTGTTTCCTGGTGTTTGTTTTTGAATAACCATTAGCTGGCTCAGTGAGTAAGATTCCAAGACTGAGGTAGATGCTTGGAAGGTACCAGAGGAATGTTGCCGTACTCAAATCCATTGTGTATGTAATGATATTTTGTTCAACTCTTTTCAAAGAATAACAAACAATATGTTCTAACAGATGTCAGAGTGGATTAATATGATTTACAATGATATTTTATTAACCTGCATTAGGTGCTTTAATGGGTATAGAAGCAAGATCAATTTTCTGAATAGTTTCCTTTTGTAAAATTTTATTTCTTATTCTATTATCATAGAATCCCTACTGTGTGGAGACAGGCCATTTGGCCCACTGAGTCCTCACTGACCCTCTGAAGGGTGCCCCACCCACACCTGCCCCTTACCCCGCATTTCCTGTGGCTAATACACCTAGCCTTCACACTCTGGATACTGTGGGGCAATTTAGCATGGCCAGTCCAATTAACCTGCACTTTTATGGACTGTGGTTGGAAACTGGAGCACCTGCAGGAAACCCACGTAGACAGTTGCCTGAGGACAGAATTGAACCTGGGTCACTGATGCTGTAAGGCAGCAGAGCAAGCCACTGAGCCACTGTGCCACCCCAAATTATTATTTACCTGCCCAGTATTCCTCCAAAACAGTCTTTTGAGATAAGAATCAGACATAATCATGTTGACTGGCAGAACAAGTTTGATGGACTGAATGCCCTACTCCTGCTCCTATTTTCAGTGTTTCTGTTTTTCAGTTCCACAGAAGGAATGTTTGCATAGTGATCCTCCGGGCCACTACCAATGCCATTTGTATTCTGCCACTAGGTAAGTGCCAGAGGCACCTCCCTCCCTTCCCCCACTGGTCATCTGCAAATCGTTGGATCATTGATTCACTGTAATTCTACTTAGCATTACTCAGCGTGGTCTTAAATGTGTGCCTGTCCCTCTAAAAAACACACATCAAATCACAGAATAGTCACAGCACTGAAGGAGACCATTAAACCCACTTTGTGGATCTAAAGTTACATATAGGCCACAGCAAGTAAGGATGACAGAATTCCTTCCATAAAAGGCATTAGTGAACCAAGTGGGGATTTTGCCCCCACATAATCAACAATGGTTTCACAGTTGTCATTAGAGCCTTAATTCCAGATTCTTTTTATTGAATTCAAATTCCAGCATCTACCATGGCCAATTTGAACCTGGGTCCCCTGACCATTAGCTGAGTTTCCGGATTAATAGTCTAACGAGCATACCATTCAGCCATTGCCTCCCCTTTAACTACAGCTATATAATTATCAACTGAACTGCCCTCATTAACACTTGTTGTAGACCTTTAGAAAATTCCAACAAGTTGGTTAAAATTTTCCCTGAAGAGATCCATGCTGGCTTTCTTATAGTTAACCTGCATTTTTTGAACAGTTTCTCAATTGGGCCCGAAATCACATTTTCTGGAATTTTCTCCACCATTGCAGTTAAACTGACTGGCCAAAAGTTTACAGCCTTTTTGAGCAGGCTATAATAATTGCAATTCTCCAGTCCTCTGGCACCACCTCTGGGTCTAAGGAGTACTGAAAATTCAGGCTGGTACCTTCTCAATTCCCATACTGACTTCCCTCAATATCATGGGATTTAGTCTTAGTGCCAGCTTGCCTTAAGGTGGGGAGGTGATGGCCTAGTGGTATTATTGCTGGACCTGTTAATCTAGAGATCCAGGCATCTGGGTTCAAACCCCACCACTGAAGTTGGTGGAATTTAAATTCTGTTTTTTAAAAAAACCCAGAACTAAGATTCTAACAATGACCATGAATCAATTATCAGGAAAAAACCCCTCTGGTTCATTAATGCCCTTTAGGGAAGAAAACTGCCATCCTTACATGGTCTAGCCTATGTGTGACTCTACTCACAGGAATGTAGTTGACCCCTAACTGCCCTCTGGGCAATTAGGGATGGGGCAATAAATGTTGGCCTAGCTATCAATGCCCTCATCCCATGAATGATTTTTTTAAAAAGTAGATTGGCTATCCAATATATCATCCTTTCCAATTTAAAGCCCTTCAAGTGTCCAAATTATCTTCTTTATCTCTTTAGCCTGGGTAGCATCTTTCTCCTTGGTAAAGGCATTCATTTAAAACTTCAATTATACTGCCTGCCTCCAAGTGTAAATCTTGTTCCCTAATTAGCCCTGCTCCTTCTTTTACTATTTAAATGCCTGTGGAAGATTTTGGCATTCCCTTTTATGTTAACTGCCTCTTTGCTTCTCTTATTTGTTATGTCACCTCTTCTCTGTATCCTCTATTTTCAGCCTTGTTCTCAGTTGTATTTTTTACCTGATATCTGTCACATGCAGAAAAATAAAACAAAGATCTGCAGCATTCTGATGAAGAGTCACTAGACTCAACATTAACTCTGCTTTCTCCACACAGGTACTGCCAGACCTCCTGAGTTTTGCCAGCAATTTCTGTATCTGTCGTACACATACTATTTCTTCTTTATGTTAATTTTTCCTCTCTTTTATCAGCCAGTGTGTTGACTTTGTCTGCCCTACCTTTCATTTTGAGGGAATGCTCTTTGACCGTGCCTGAAATCCCACTTCTTGTCCCACACTGCCTTTTACAACACTTCAATTCCAGTCTAAATTCAATTTATTTAAGTTCCCCATTGTAACTGCCCTATATTTTGCAGCTCTGTGTAATTTCCTTGAAAATTTCTCCCTCAAATCCTTCCCACCATTGCTGGCCTATATTGTGCAACACTGAGCTTTGTAATGAGACTGTTTTTGTTTTTTAGCTCTAGCCAAAATAATCCTGTCCTTGAGCCCTATGGATATCTCCAGCATTGCAATGCACTCTTTAATACCATCAGCCTCCCCTTCATGTCCTTTCCTATCTTTCCTGATCACCTTATATATCCAATCCTGCCCTTATTTGAACCAGGTCTTATGAACACACAAGTGTAAATTAGAACAAGAGCAGGCCACTAAGCTCTTCGAGCCTGCTCCACCATTCAATAAGATCATGCTGATCTGATTTTAGCCTCAACTTTACATTCATTCATATCCCCAATAATCTTTCATTCCACAATTTTATTTTTCCACATGATACCCTGCACCTGTAACTCCCAATTTTATTTGCCACACTGTGCATTCACCTTGACCTAAACTTTAATACTTTCTCCCTAACTCTGACTTTACAATTCCTTATTGCCGTGCTATCTATTTCTCCCAGTATTTTGCACACGTTGATGTCCTGCTATGATATTGTCTCTTGGTTGCTACATCTCTACTGAATTAGTTTAAACCATCTCCTATACCATTAGCCATATGGAACTCACAGGGAATTCAGTGCCAACTGTACTCAGGAGCAAGCCATTCAGCTTATGCAGGTTCAACTTCCGGCAGAGTCAGTCCCAATATCCCAAGCATCCAAAGCCATCACTCCTGCACGATCTTTCCAGCTACACATTCATCTGCCTTATACTACCATTACTTTATGTATATGCATGTTTTAATGGCAATGATCCAAATTTTTGTGATGTCTTGCTTGCTAATTTCCTACTTAGCTGACTGAATTCTAATTGCTGAATCCCATATGTCTTTCTGCTTTGGTCATTCACGTCAAAGTGGACCATGACTGCGAGCTGTTCATTTTTTTCCCTCAACGTGCTCTGCAGCCTCTCAGTGGCATCTTTGACCCTGACACTAGGGAGGCAATGCATATCCTGTATTTACATCAATGGCTGCAGACATACCTTTCTGCCTTCTAACTATTGAATCACTATCACTGTGTCTTTTTCAGTGTCCCTTGTAACTCCATTTCTATGGACTCTGCTCTAGCTGCACTCCCCAGATGAATCACCACTCTCCTCAGTGTTCACAAATGAATACTGGTTGAAGAGTGGCGTGCATTCACGGCTCCTGAACTACCTGCCTGTTCCTTTTCGTGATCACCTAACCCTCTCTCCCTTGATTCAAGTTGTGGACTGACTGCATCTATAAACATGCATTTCATATAGCTCTTAACCCTGCAGATGCACAATGGTGATGTCAGCTGGTACTCAAACAATTGCAACTGATGCCACTTCTTCCAGAAGTGGTTATCCGGGAGATGGAACTAGCCCTGAAGATCCCACATAATCCAAAATGTACATTCTCGAGGTTGGAGCAGCCCTGTCTTTTCTTTATTTTTTAGTTAAGCTTGTTTTTCTTAATAGATGTTATAAACACAAATAAACTTTGCTCACCAATGCTGGTAAATAATAGTAATACTTAACACACCATACTCGTAGTAATAAACCTTGCTTAAATTTATTGTTTTAAAATGCTTGTTACTTCTTATTGTTACAAAATTTTTTTAGTATTTGATCTGTCAGTTATTTATACTGGATCTCCTCCCTCACAATGCCAACTTCCTTCCTTACCAAATTCCCAAGCTCACATTCTGTCTTGGAGCACTCAGTGATGAGCTACTATCTTCATGCTACTGATATTTTTTAAAAAAAGCACATTATAGGTAATTTTCATCACACTGCTTTATGATAAAACTAGTATTGTGATTCAAGCTGCCGTGGTAGAGACACATGACAATTCCTTTCATGAGTGGCAAAGCTGGCTTGATGCTGCAACAATAAGTCCTCTATTGAGCAGCTTGCATCCCAGCAAAAAAGCTTATTCACCATGGTCTTTGTTATTTCCTGACATTGTTCTGGACAGTAGCATGTGGTACACCCATTGTCAGAGACAATCAAATGCCCGACCTATTTTTCTTATGCACTGAGCAGCACCTAATTGCAAGATCAAACTAAAATGAGACTTCTTCACGGACATGTTCACTTTTTACTATTTTTCCTTCCAATGTCCAAAAGGATTTGGTTTCACATGTATTTGCTTGTCTCTAATACTTCATCCAACATTTATTCTCCATGTGTGAGCCTGGAATGACATTTTAAAGGCACCCCTGTCTTAAAACAGTGCACTTATGTTGTTTGTAAACAAACCAAAATTTGAAAAAATACATAACACCATATGCATATACCATGTTTTTGACAATAAAACTTGGTTTTCACCACCCAACCCCCATCAGGAAATGAATGCGGAATTAGTTTATGTAGTACCTGAGAACAAATATAATGGAGCATGAGGTGCAATTCTCAGAGCGTGACATAGTTTTAGTATTTGAGAAGCCCACCAGAACCACATCTAGTATGCAGTGCTAATGAGACAGAAACCACTGTCAGTAACAAAAACTTAGAGGGATGGAAAATTTCGAGCAAACATGTACAGAGAAACCACATAGGTTTTCGAAAAGGCGTTGTTATTATAAATTGTTGTGTTTGCTTTTCAAAGTATTGGCCTATTGAGCGTTCATGTAGCCCTTTCCCAGGATGGGAGAATTTCTTATTGTATGCTGATGACTTCTAATTAAATTCCCATATCTGTTCTCTTAATTTAATAGCAAACTTGTGCAAAATACACAGGTGTGGTACAAACATGGTTAAAATAGCACAAACAGAATGTAACAAAAGAAACAATGCCAACAGAGAAAATTAAATTAATTATTCAAAGAATGAGTCAGAAGGTTTACTTGGTGCCCTCTAATGCTAAATTTCAAGTTGATTCCTTTCTCTCTTGCTGCATTCCCATCTTCTGAGTGGATGTTTCGTGACTGTTCTCTTGTGGTGTGTTCTGATATCAGCTCACTTAGAAATTGCTTTTGTTCTCATCAGTTTGCAAGGCTCTTGAATAAAAATAAATGAGGAATATTAATCCTTGATGATCTCATGCTGCTGTAGCTTGAATTTGATCAACACCAGCCAATGAATGGTCTGGAATTTACACTCCCCTCTCAGTGGGTTGGAAAGCAAGTGATACACGTAGAATCCAATGGGTGGCCTGTCTGCCACCTATTGTCCCATCAGCGGCTAATGAATGGCATATAAGGGCTTCATCACACTTTGACAGTATTACATGGAGGAAGGGCCAATGTCAGGCAGGTGTTAGGCACATTTCCTTTGTGAGATCCCTGAACCCATCAGAGCCCATATCCCCTCCTTATCCATGATCATTAGCTTCTTTTAACTGCTCCTGGCCTCTTCAAACCATCCTATGTTGCATTGGTGTGACTACTGAGTTGCAGGCTTGATAGGTCAATTGGTCTACTCCTGCTCCTATATCTTATGACATTGTTATCTTATGTTTTGAAATGGGGGCGATTGGTTGATATGGCAACACTGAGGGTTTTGGGGACTGATACACACAGCTGAATCCCAAGTTTCCAAGGTTCTGGAAGCACAATTTTAAGTTCAGCTTCCTCTCTGTTATGGGGGTCAGAATGCTGGATCTTTGTTTTGTTGATGCACACACATCCCTGGAAGGTTCAAGAAGGTAGCTCAATATATTCTTCCCAAGGGCAGTTAGGGATGGTCAGCAAATGCTGACCTAGCCACCAATGCCCACATACAATGAACAAATAAAAAAATGTCTACAATGGCTTTTTATGACCCTTAAATACGTTTATGCTATTCTCTTCAACTACACCTCGATTGGCAGATAGAGATGATATATCAGAGGTACTAAAACTGAAGGAAAGAGGCAATGTAAATGGAAACAAGCTGTTTTCAGTGATTGAGCCATCCAGAACACAGTAAGAATAAATATTTCAATTTAGGATGCAAGTAAGAGAAACGTTTTTACACAGAGTGATGTGAAGCTGTAGAATACACTATTAGGTATACTGCTTAAAGCAAGCACTACATTATTACTAAGGACAGATTAGGTAGGAGACTGAAGGAAGGGGGAATAAAAGATCAGGGCAGACATGTGGGTTGAGGACTACAGTCTGTGTGGATGATAATTATCAATGTGGACTGGCTGTTTCTATGTGATAATTCTTGTATAAATATATCTAGGCCACCTTATTTTCCAACTTGTTGTATAAATTTTTACAGAACTGCTTTTTCTTTTTGTTTCAGGAAATCCCTGCAGAAGCCCATCACCTGCAGTGAGCAATGTGCATTTCTGGTCAGTCAATCTGCAGAACATTGTGCTCTGGGAACTGCCTAGAGAAAAAGGATGCAAGATATCGTTCAGTGTACAGTATAAAATGTAATTTCTACTCTTATTCTATGCTGCTATGTGGCTGTTTAGATCTTGATTATATTTTGTTGTTTCCAAATGAAGCAATTGTAGAAGAAAATAATTAACAACACACAAATCTTTCCTGCTTCAGACCATTCAGGCCATCTTTAATGTCTCTTCCCAATGCAGATGTGAGAAGAGTTAATGTCCCAGTACCCTACTCTTTCCCAACACATACACACATGATCCACAGAATGCCAAATACCAAAACTAGAAACTGTAAATACAAAACAGACATTATTGTACCCAGCGGGGAATTTAGAAGAAATTCCTTTGCCTTAACAGTGGTCAGAATGTGGAACTTGCTACCGCAAGGACTGATTGAGGCAAATAGCATAGGTGCATTTAAGGGGAAGCTAGTTAATCACATAAGAGAGAGAAGAAAAGAAGGTTTTGCTGATGGGTTTATTTGAATAGGGGTGGAGGAGATTCATGTGCAGCATAAAACGAATGGTCTGGGCCAAGCTGGGCCAAATGCATGTTCTGTGCTGTAGATTCTAAGTAATCTAGAATTAGAGAAGAGATTATTCCCAGATACAGGTATTCAAAATCAGGACCAATAACAGCGACACAGGATGTGCTCAGGTTGGGATAGGGCCACTGTGCTCAGGCAAGGGGCCCAGGCCAGAAGCAGCACTGGAGCTCATGATTTCTGTCCTTTTCCCTGTTCAAAAGTACTTATTTCTCAGAGATTCCAATACAGATTGTTTTCAAAAATAAATTCCAGCTAGTCTTGCAGTACAGAAAAACATTAAAAAGAGCCATGTCTCACGAAAATCAGATAGTTCAAAATCTTTCCTCTTTGCAAATGTGATATTGTAACATCAAAATTAGTAATAGAAAATACAGTATATTTTTACAACATAAGCTTCCTTAATATTTTACAAATAAAATGTTTTGATCCTGTCCTTAGCCAAGTTATTATATTCGTCTTCATTAACGCAAGTGTGATACTTATGTAGCTTTGCAGTTCTAATTCTGTTTTTATGTTGTTTATCAAGTAATGAGTTGTTCCACGAGTTTTCTATTCTCTTATTGTCTGACTGAGACTGTCCAGACTCAATTTGCATGGACAACCAAAATAGAGGGGTGACATTCACCCTGTTAGCCTAGGCTGATTCAAGGGTTGCTTTTAAATGTGAATGGAGAGTGTGCTGTATTGGAACCATTCATTCTTATTATTCTTTCTTATGTTTCTTATTTTTTAGAAGATAATTTGCTTGTGACAGTGAGCAATATTGTTCAGGAAATACCAAAATAAAACTTTATTTTTATAATCACAATGTCTTCCTGTTTTATGCACAGATTTAAAAAGGTAATGAGAATGACTGAAAATGTGTTTTTTTTTGTGACCCAAGTACCCATGATGCTGAATTTAGTGGTTGTTTGTTTATTTAATCATCGCATATGCATTTCCTACAAACTGTTTCCAAACTATTTACTCACCAAAAGTAGTGTTCAGTATAAATTTCAAGATTGGAGTGATTTATGTTGAGTTTCCTTGGCCTAATCCATTCAACTACAGATTCATTTCCAAAGCTTATATGTTTTAATCACTGGAGATTAGAAGAATGAAAAGCGACCTTACTGAAACATAAGATTTTTAGGTACTTGACAGGATAGGTACAGAAAGTTTGCTTCCCCATGAAGGACAGTGTAGCAGCAGAGGTAATAATTTCAAAATTAGGAGATTAATACAGAAATGAGGAAAAATTCCTTCTCACAGTGGGTAATGAGTCTGTGAAATTGATTTTGAGGGCTGTTGAGGTTGGGTCATTTTGAATGATCAAGGATGAGATAGATAAATATTTGAACAGTAAAGGGATCAAGGATTATGGAGAAAAGTCAGTAAGGTGACATTAAGGATTATCAGATTAACCACAATCACAAAATGACAGAACGGACCTGATGGGACGAATGGTCTGTTTATGCTCCTTCGTCTTGTAGTCTTATCTCCAAAGATGTCAGAAAGTTGATGTAAACAGTAGCAATTACATTTAACTGTCATTCAGCTATCATTCATTCGCTAACCTTGGTCTACAGCATAAATACCACCATTTCCTAGCTACAAGCAGCTCTGAGGAAGGGTCACCGGACCCAAAACATTAACTCTGCTTTCTCTCCACAGATGCTGGCAGACCTGCTGAGGTTTTCTGTTTTTGTTTTGTATCACATTTAACTACTTTAATTATGTCGCTGCCCTCTTATTTTGCTCACTGATAGCATTAGAACTGGAAACATGTGACTGCAGTGGAAACACTGCGCTAGTTTGTGAGGAAAGTATTACATTGCATGACAGCACCTGTGAAAAGACATGAAAAGGTAAACCACACATTTGCAGGTACACATTCTCATCAGATTTTTATCTCAGAGTAACCTCACATCACAAACTGAGGTTGCACATGTAGCAAATGTCCCAGTTTACAGCAATTTATTATTAAGCTGTTTGTTTATTCATTGTATTAATATGCTTTTGAAGCTAAATTATTCCTCCAAAATGTCAGTTGTTTCAGACAGCTTTCGAATACTTCCAAGCAGTACATTTTGTGCATTTCAACTTTTAGACAACCAAAACAATCAAACATTAGAATAAAGAAAATTCCATAAAAGAAAGTGTGGTACAGATTTATTGTCAATGCTGAGGAAAATAATTAACCAATTTCTGGAAAAAAAATTAAAAACATTTATAAAGTGTGTCAGTTTCATCTTCCCTCCAGACTTAGCTATTTCAATGCACTCACGGTTGCCCTCCTGTACTCTGTTCTCCTTGACCTTTACATCACCTAAAATTCTATTTCTGATGTCATTATACCAAACTCTGCTCACCCATAAAACCTCTGCTCAGTGACCTGCATTGACTCCCAATGAAATGTTGTCTGGGTTTTATCATTTTCATCCTTCAAATTGCCCCTTCGTGGTATCGCTCCTTCATCCCTCTTCTTATCACTATAATCTCCTCAATCCCACAACCATCTGAGACATCTGCATTGATCTAACTCTGACCTCTTAAGCATTTTATTTGCTCCACGAATAATTTTTTTTGGGGGTGCCTTCAGCTAACTAGACTCTAGACTTGCTCCCTAATTTGCCTCTTTCCCTTGCTTTCCTCCTATTACATTAGAGATGCTATGTAAGTACATGTTTTTTTTTAATGTGATAGGATTGAATGTGTATCAGAAAAAAGTCAACCACATGAGATACCACAATTTCATTGAAATACTTTTGAATTCATGGACATGGCATTACAGTGAAGGCAAGTTCATGGTGAGAGAAAGTTGTTTCATAGTGACAAAGCAAAACACTTTACAATGAACGAATAAATAAAGAATAGACTTAAAAATTAATATTAGGTTTGTTCATTGAGGCACTAGATAATTGCTTACTTAGTTTCGTGGTTGCATTGGCCTTGCTTACAGTACTAACTCTTCATATGATGGCATTTGGACTTTTTTAAATGAGTCCAGTATTTTTGGATTCAGATAGTTTTCACAAAGGTGTTGTTCACATTTTCCTGCCAATCAGTTTTATTAAAAATTTGAATGGAAAATGTTGGACAACCTGTGATGTCTGTCTTAACTTTTCTTTCATCATAATGACCTTGAAGCAACTACTGATGCTGTCCTCTTGTCTCCAAAAGCATTGTTTTCTTGTTTTCACTCTTGAACCATTTAAGTATTTTATATATCCCTGCAAGATTCTCTCTGAGGCGTATCTTTCTAAAAATGGACAAACCCTATTCGTGAAGCTGTCCTTCTTGGTTTTTCACTCAGACACTGGGCTTCAATTTCTCTGCACTGTCTTTGAGTCTACAATATAAGAACATGACAAAGAGCAGGAATAAGGAATTTAGCCTGCTTCACTATTCAATACAATCATGGCTGATCTCATCTTAACCTTAACTCCACTTTCCTGCCCAATCCTCATAACTGTTCAACCTATTACTAAAAAAATCTGTCTATCTCCTCCTTAAATTGACTCAATATCCCAGCATCTGCTTCACTCTGGGGTAATGAATTCAACAGATTCATGACCCCCATAATGAGATGGCTCCCATAAATCTGACATCGACTCTAATGTGAGCTTCAGGTACAGTTTGAACAGGGCAGCACTGTAAAGCTTCAGAATGGCCTCTGGAAATTTTAACTCCACTGATGTGTCCTGTAATCCAGCATTTTATTTGTATTGATTGTTATGACTACCACTAGCTTGGGCTACTAAGTAGCAAGTATCGTATCTGCTAGACAAGTGCCAGATAAAGATCATTTCCAACAAGACTGAATCTGATCAACTCCCTGACATACAATAGCATTGCAGTCACTGAATTCCCACTATCAACATGCTGGGCTTTACCATTGACCAGAAACTTAAACGAATTAGCCTCATACATACTCTGGCTACAACAGCAAGTCAAAGGCTAGTCAATCTGCAGTGAGTAACTCACCTCCTGACTCCCCAAAGCCAGACCATCTGCAGGGCACAAGTCAGAATGTTGATGAATACTCCACTTGGCCTCGATGACTCTGCCTGCATCAACATTCAAGAAGCTCAATACCACCCAGGACAAAGCAGCCTGCTAATCAGTGCATTTCTTACCACCTTAAGCATTCACCTTTGCACCACTGAAGCACACTGCCACATGATGCACTGTGGCAACAGCTCCCCTAACCTTCAGCAAAACCTTCCAAACGTAACACCTCTACTACTTAGAACGAAAAAGGAAAAAGATGCATGGGAACACCATGCCGGCTAGTTAACTTCAGCACTGCAGTGTCAGAAAGAAAAACATGAATGCAGCAACGCTGCCAGTCAACAGTGATTTACAACATATTGTGGAATGACACTTTGGCTCCCTCACACATAGTTGCCCTTTATTCTAAGTTCTAAGTTCTAAAATTTGGATGACTCAGGGATAGTGAAAACAGGACTGAATTACAACCATTGTTAGTAAATCTTTAAAATATTCTGCACGAATATATGTTTCTCTGTTCTTGAAAAAGATGTAAGATACAATGATTAATTTTTGACTCAGGTCAGGGGAGTAAAAGGGATTAGAACTGTCCTAAAATAAAATAATGTTGGGTGACAAATTGAATTGCAGAAGTAATACCATAGACAAGTTACTAAAAACAGAAGTTGCAAAATTAATAAGATGGATCAATATAGCTACTGACACACTTCAAGCCAGGTAAATTTTAGATTCATTTGAGAGGAATATTTGTCTAGGCACCAATTCATTCACCATGTATTGTACTATATTTGTTTCATTAAACCACTTGTTTAAAAGGAACAATTGTTACCATTTGGGTTTTTCCATTAAGTGGTTTATACTGTAATCATGCAATAAAATCATGAACTGGTCAGGAAGCAAGTGGAACATCAATAACAAAAGGGGAACCTGTGCTAATTACATGAACTGAACATCGTAACATATCCAAGGCTGTAAAAATAGAATAGTTAGATATCTTTTATATCTATATACATATCCATTGTAGGTCACTAGCTATAATCCTTCAAACACTTTAATACTTTAATTCCGAAGTTAAGTTCAAAGTTAGCTTGCAATGATTGGTCTCACAACAGGGTGGAATGTTTACTTGTCAAGGTATAAGGTGAACAGCATCTTGGAGATGTTATTTGAGTCCCAGTTCGATACGTTTAAACAGAATCTTTTTATTCTTTAATGGAGTATAAGCATCTCTGGATAGGCCAACATTTATTGCCTATCCTAATTGCCTTTGAGAAGGTGGGAATGAACTGTCTGTTGGAACCATGACAGTCTGTGTGATATAGATGCACTCACAGTACATTTAAGAAGAGGAGCTGCAAGATTTTGATCCAGTGACAGAGAAAGAACAGTAATTTAGCACTAAGTCAGGATAGCCTGTGGCTTTGAGGGGAAATTCAGTCCTGTTTTCACTATCCCTGAGTCATCCAAATTTTAGAACTTAGAACTTAGAATAAAGGGCAACTATGTGTGAGGGAGCCAAAGTGTCATTCCACAATATGTTGTAAATCACTGTTGACTGGCAGCGTTGCTGCATTCATGTTTTTCTTTCTGACACTGCAGTGCTGAAGTTAACTAGCCGGCATGTATAATTTAAGAATGAAAGAGCTTGGTCTAAAGTTGGATCATCTCTGCTGTATTGTTGCTGCTAACCTTGGTTAGCACTTGTAGGTAACGTTGGGTAGATATTCCTAGATTGATGCAACAGTAGAAAATATAGAAAGAAGGGCATCTGCTTCACTGTGCTAATTGTGTAATATTCATAACAGAAAATCAACCAGCAATCAGAATAAAATGTATTTGCATTACCTAGTTGTTCCATGGTCTGGGAAAGATAGACAACTTCAGTTTGAGATGTGTGAAGATTTCTAAATATGGAGAAGTGTGTGTGCAATTGCCTATGTACATTATGTGGCAGGTTTGAAAATGAATATTTGCAGTAAGACTTAATGGTGCTATTTTTAAATCAGATATGGAGAAAAAGATTGGAAGAACAAAAAGGAATGCCAGAACATTACCAGAGCATACTGTGATCTTTCAAATGAGACAGCTGACAGTGAAGAATATTACTATGCCAGAGTAAGAGCTATTTCAAGAGCAGGATTTTCAGATTGGAATAAAAGTGGAAGATTCAATCCTAAGGTGGAAAGTAAGTACAGGTTTAAACTTTTCTGTCGAGATACAAATTTTAACTGTATTAGCTGTAAATTTTGTTACGATCCCTGCAGTAACTTAACAACACTTTTTAAAAATTAACTTAGAGTGAATAGCTGAATGGATGACACAAAAGGTTTTCATGCATTAATATGACAAAAACATTTAGAGCATCATTGACGAAGCACCATTTCAGGAGAAAGCTTATATTTAAACTATGGGAAACGTCCCATATTTATCGTTTAAAATTACCAAACAGAATTGCTTTTCTGTGTTGCTTGAATAGACACTCTATTCTCCCAGAACTAGTCTATTACTTAGCTTGCATGAGTTCAATTTCATTTCTTCCTTCCCCAAACTGATGAGTTTTAAAATCAGAACCATTGGGCTGCAGGGTTCCCAAGCGAAATATGAGGTGCTGTTCCTGCAACCGTCGGGTGGCATCGTTGTGGCACTGCAGGAGGCCCAGGATGGACATGTCGTCCAAGGAGTGGGAGGGGCAGTTGAAATGGTTCGCGACTGGGAGGTGCAGTCGTTTGTCGCGAACTGAGCGTAGATGTTCCACAAAGTGGTCCCCAAGCCTCCTAAGGATCAATGTGGACTTCACAAGCTTCAAAATCTCCCCTCCCCCGACCACATCCCAAAATCAGCCCAGCTCGTCCCGGCCTCCCTAACCTGTCCTTCCTCCCACCTATCCACTCCTCCCACCTCAAGCCCCACCCCCATCTCCTACCCACTAACCTCATCCCACCTCCTTAACCTGTCCTTCCTCTGTACTGACCTATCCCCTCCCTAACTCCCCACCTACACTCACCTTTACTGGCTCCATCCCCGCCTCTTTGACCTGTCTGTCTCCTCTCCACCTATCTTCTCCTTTATCCATCTTCTATCCGCTTCCCCCTCTCTCCCTATTTATTTCAGAATCCCCTTCCCCTCCCCCATTTCTGAAGAAGGGTCTAAACCCGAAACGTCAGCCTTCCTGCTCCTATGATGCTGCTTGGCCTGCTGTGTTCATCCAGCTCTACACCTTGTTATCTCACAAATATATTTATTGTTTTGTATATCAAAATGCATTGTAACTGTTAGGGTCATTCTTGTGCATCTTTTTTTAATAGCTATGCATCAATTGTCTTTCAGCAACCATCAGTTCCCCAAAAGTAGAAGTAAAAGCCGGGGTCTGTTCCATCTCCATTACATTGACGGCTCCCAAAAAGTGGAAGACAAACAATGAGGCTGAAGCTATTTCACTGGCTAAAATCTTTCATGACTTAAAATACAATTTGTCTGTTACTAATAGAAAGACAAATAAGTCGGTAAGAAAAATTCATACATTATTAAAACCAAATATAAAAATACACGAGTTGATAGTTCATAAAGCCTAATCCTTTTTTTTCCTTCATGTGTCGTGGTGTCACTGGCTGGGCCAGCATTATTTCCTCATTCATAATTGCTATGGAGAAGGTGGTGATCTGCTTTCTTCAATCACTATGGTGCTTCAGGGTGTAGGAACACACACAGTGCTGTTCAGGGGGATATTCTAGGAGTTTGACTTTGTGATAGTGAAGGAAATATAATATATTTCCAAATCAGGATGGTGAGTGGCAGGGTAATTTCTGGTGGTAATGTTCCAATGCATCTGCTGCCTTTGTCCTTTTAGTTGGCAGTGGTCATGGGTTTTGAAGGTTATATCAGAGGAGCCTTGGTATTTACTCCAATATGCCTTATTGATGATGCACATTATATCAGTGATGAAGGGGGTGAATGTTGAAGTTGATGGAAGTGGTGCCAATTAAATAGGTTGCTTTGTCCTGGACGGTGGTGTTGAAGCTGCTGTCATCCAGGCAAGTTGTAAGTATTCCATCACACTCCTGACTTGTGCCTTGTAGATGGTGGACAGGCTCTGGGAAGTCAGGAAGTGAGTTCCTCACTGCAGAATGCCTGGCCTCTGTACTAGTCTTATAGGCACTCCATTTATCTGGCTGTTCCACCTCAGCTTCTTGTCAGTGGTGACCTCCATGACCTGGTTGTGAAGTATTCAGTGACACAAATGCTATTGAATGTAAAATGATGAGGAATAGATTTTCTTTTGTTATAGATAGTGGTTACTTAGCACTTGTGTGGCATGAATGTTACTTGGCACTTGTCAACCAAGCCTGGGTATTGTTCAGATTATACAACATTTGGACATGGACTGCTTCAGGATCTGGAGAATTACAAATGGTGCTAAATATTGTGCAATTATTGGCAAACATCCCCAGTTCTGTACAAAAACCGAAAGAACTGTGGATGCTGTAAATCAGAAACAAAAACAGAAGTTGCTAGAAAAGCTCAGCAGGTCTGGCAGCATCTGTGAAGAAAATATCAAACTTAACATTTCGGGTCCGGTGACCCTTCCTCAGAACTGGACCCGAAGCGTTAACTCTGATTTTTTTTTACACAGATGCTGCCAGACCTGCTGAGCTTTTCCAGCAACTTCTGATTTTATCCCCAGTTCTGACTTTATGATGGAGAGAATATCCACCAGACAGATGATGAAATTTGAATTTTAAAAAAATATGGAACTGTAACCATTGCTGATTCTTATAAAAACTCATCTGGTTCACAAATATCCTTCAGGGAAGGAAATCTGCTATCCTTTAACTGGTCTGACCTACATGTGACTCTCGACCCATTGCAATGTTGTTGACTCCTAACTGTCTACTGGGCATTAGGAATAGACAATAAAAGCTGGCCTAGCCTAATGACACTGATATCCCATAAATGCATTTTAAACAAATTGTCCATAACTATTTACAATTGACTGTGGCAGATCTGCAAAGCTTCCATTGAGTCTGGTAGTTGTGGAATCATTTAGCCCTGTCCACTGCATGGTGTTTCTGCTGATAGGCATTCAAGCAGGTCCTGTGTTGCAGCTTCACCATGTTCATACTTCATTTATAGGTATACACAGATCTGCTCCTAGCATGTGCTCCCCTATGCCTTTCATTGAACCAAGCCTGGTCTACCTGCTGGGTGGCAATGGTCGAGTCAGGCATTTGCTAGGCCGTGTGTTTACAGATTCTGGCTGAATTCAATTCCATTGCTGTTGAGGTGTTTAACAGTGCCTTGTGGATTCCCAGTTTTGAGTTCCTAGATCTGTTTGAAGGCTGTCCCATTTAGCATGATGTTAATGCCACAACACAATCACCAATATCTTCCATGTGAAGAAAGAACTTGGTGTCGCTCTTATCAGTGCTATCATGGACAGATACATTTTTGTAAGTTAGATTGATGAGGATGAGTTCAAGTAGATTTTTCACTCTTGTTGATTCATTCACCATCTGCCTCAGATAGAGTCTAGCAGTTATGTCCTTTACAATGCAGCCAGCTTGGTCAGTGGTGGTGCTGCCAAGCCAATTTTGGTGATGGACACTAAAGTCCTCCATCCATAGTATATTCTATTCCTTTGTCATCCTCAGTGCTTTGTATAAGTGGGATTCGATATGAAAGAGCACTGTTTCATCAGTCAAAATGGGGTTATGAATGAAATGAATACAAATGTTACATAAGCAACTATGCTTGCCCATAAATAGCCCAACAAAGATGAGGCTGTTTTTATTTTTAACTATTTTATAATTAGTTCTTTATCTTTTAGCTCATTTTCCTTGAAGATGGTAACTTTAAAAAAGTGGATACTCTGGACCATGATACCACATATTGTGTGACAGCTCAAACAGTGGAATTTTCCTTTCATAGAATAAGTGAACCATCTGAAACTGTTTGTGCGACAACACCAAAAGGTGAGAGCATTATTTTAAATATGAACCTATATTTACAAAGAAATGGTGACACAGTGGTGATTCACTGGAGTAGTAATCCAGGGCCCAGGATCTAGGGCAAGGGCTCAAATTCCACCATGACAGCTAGTGGAACTTAAATTCTGTCCTGAATTTGCTAAATTACTGAACTTGCAAACCCATCTGGTGGACAAAATTGCAAAGAACTACTGCCCCCTCAATGAAGAAGCTCCTCGTCATCTCAGTACAATATGAGATTGTGTCCCCTAGTTATTGACCACACAGTCAGGAGAGACATCCTGTCTGTGTCTACTGTATCTCATCTATCTCTTTAGGAATTTTCAAAGTCTCTGTGAGATTGCCTGTCATTCTTCTGAACTCCAAAAATTTCAGACACATTTGCTTCAATTTCTCTTCAGAGGACATCTCACCATCTGAAGGATCAGTCTGGTGAATATCTGCTGCACTCCCTCTATTGCAATTATATCCTTTCTTCAGCAAGTGAACCAGAACTACCCTCAGAGCTGTACGTGCAGCATCACCAGTTTTCTCTACAACTAAAGCAAGACTTCAAACTAGTCTCAGTAATGATGACTTTGACAGTTACTTTCAAATGTCATAAAAACCAATCTGGTTTAGTCGCATTCTTTGGGAAGGAAATCTGTCACCCTTACCAAGTCTGACTACAGACACAGAGCAATGTGGTTGACTCTTAATTGTCCCCGGAAATGGTAATAGTAAGCAATCAGTTAAAAGGCAATTCCGGATGGGAAATAAATGTTGGTCTTGCCAGCAATGCCTATATCCCACAAGAATTGAAAAGTATCAATGAGTGCAAGACTGTTATGTTGTATAAAATTATACAAAATGTTCATTAATCAAAAGGTCACATTCGAAGAGACAGTTCAATGCTATGTTCTTGTACCTTGTCTAGCATTTTTAATCTTAATTACGTAATCTAAACTGTACTCTTCCATAGTATCCTTTTGTCGCCATCCTATTAATAACTTTTCCCATTTCCCAGCTTTCAAAAGCTGCCAATGTTAGATCATTCAATGCAAAAGAGACAAAAGGAAAGTCTGAGATGTGGTGGAAGACAAATTGTTTGAAAAACAGGAGAGTTAGTCTTGCAATTCTGTCTGGAAACTTACTTTTTTTTCTTTTCCAGCAAAACCTGGTGAAAACAGTGCATTTCTAACTCCTATCAATTCTGTTGAAAGATGTTCACCTTGAAACATTAACTCTGTTCCAGTCTCCACACATGCTGTCAGATCTGCTGAGTATTATCAGCATTTTCTGAGGTTCTGCATTAAAGCTTTGTGGACAAGAAAATTTTCTGATGCATTTTTCAGTACATTTTCCTTTCATTTCTACCATTACAGATCCTGTGAAACAAATGATCAAAATGATCCTGCTTGGATGTGTTCTGCCGGTCTTTGTTTCCATTTTTTTGTTCACGTTGTTGGGCTGTTTCATGTACAAATATGTGTACATCAGTGATCAGAAGCAACCTGTAAATCTGGTAAGCAGTTTCTACCAGCTTATTACAATAAACTATGATTAATATGTGTTTATTCCACTATATACAAGAAACTTATTGTGCAGAAAGGGTGCATTTGAAAGAATATATCATACATAATCTATTAAGTGATTGTACTATTGTGTAGATGTGGCAGAGAAAAGTAATTGAGTCATTCCTAGTGCTAACAGCACTAGAAAATAGTGTGCATATTGCTGCCAGATATTTTAAGTGTTCTTTCTTATTACAACAAATACATATCAATGTGGACTTTAGCAAGGCTTTTAATAAGGTCTTTCATGTCAGACTGGTCAAGAAAGTCCTTGGGATCCAAAGCAAAGTGATACATTAGATCTAAAATCGGCTAAGATGCAGGAAGCACAGGGTGATGGTAAAGGGATTTTTTTCTGTGAATGAAAATCTAACTGATTGAGGTGTACTTTAATAATTTGGACTTAAGTGTAAGGAGATGTGACCAAGAAGTTCATGGATGACATGAAAATTGATACGTGGTAAACAGTAAGAATGATAGGCATAAACTGCAGGAGGATTTCAAGAGACTGGTCAGCTGGGCAAAGCAATGGCAAATGGAAATTGACCATAAAAAGTGTGAGGAAGTGCTCTGGGGAGGGCTGACAAGGCAAGGGATTGAATGGTAGACCTGGGAAAGTACTGAAGATCAGAGGGACCTTGATGCGCATATCCACAGATCCTTGTAGGGCAAGTAGATAAAGGTGTAATGTGCTTAAGAGGGCAGAAGGGATCCTTGCCTTTCTTAGCTAAGTCTTAGAATACAAGAGCAAGGAGGTTATATTGGAATTGTATAAAATGAAGTTAGGCGTAATTGAAGGACTGTCTGCAGCTTTGGGAAGTACGTGATTGCACTAGTGAGGATGCAGAGGAGATTTATGATGATACTGCCTGGGCTGGAGATATGAGGAAAGATTGAATAAGATAGGATTGTTTGCCTTAGAGTTGGAAAGGTTGAGATGTGATTCGAAAGATGGGTATGTGATTATGAGGGGAATAGATATAGTGGACAGAAGACTTTTTTTCATTAGCAGCGGAATAATAAACAGGGACATAGATTTAAAACAAAAGGTAGAAGGTTATGTGAATAGTGGAAGAGAATTACTTTCATCTAGTGTGTGGTTGAAGTCTGGATCTCATGGCCTGAAAAAGGTGGCTAAGTCACAAACTCTTGTAATATTTAAGTAATAGTTAGAGAAGCACTTGTATTGCCACCATGACTATGTGTCAAGAAATGGAAAATGGGATTAGTATTGTGAGATCTTTGCCTGACTGACAATGGACACAATGAGCTGAATGACCTCCTTCTGTACTGTAAAAATCAGTAAGTGTATTTAAGAGTAAAGTTCATGATTGTAGATATCCTCAGTTAATATACACAATCAAAGGCAAGTAGATTATGAATAGGCATTGCAGTGGGAAAATGGACAAAAAAGTGCATATGAGATAATAACAGAAATCAATGTGAACTGAGAGCTTTTAAAGACACTTCACTTTCAAGTTAAAAGTATTAGGTTTTGGTTATAAGTTGCAGTGTGAGGAGCCAAGGCTATAGTAGAAGCTCCAGAATGTTGGCTTCTCCAATTAGAAGATTTTGAGGTTGATTAATTTCCTGAATAAAATCCAAAGGAGATTTCTGTTATACACAGAGCCTTGAGAAAGGGCAAACCTTGCTATGGTTCAACCAGTGTACAACATGTATAATTTCTGTATTGCGTCTAGGCTTGACCATCCTGCTCTGCAATCAAGAAAAATTAAATAGAAGAGAAGGTGCTAACAGAGGCTGTATATATCAGAGCATGTTTTTAAATGCTCACATATTGTTTTATAATTAATTGAAATTTTAGACAGCTGAATTTTGAAAACCACATCAAATTTCCTTCCACTATCTTTTCAGGCAATGCATTCCAACTACTACCAATTTTCTGCAAAATAACATTTTCCACATGGCAGCTTAGGTTCTTCTGCTAATCAGCTTAAATCAATGTCCTCTATTTCTCAACCCTTCTGCCAATGGGAACAGTTTCTCCCAATATACTCTTTCAGATCTAACTATCACATCTCCTACCAACCTTGTTCAAGACTATAAGACAATAAGAAATAGGAACAGGAGTAGCCATTCAGCCACTTGAGCTGCTATCAAGGAGAACAGACCCAGCTTGCCTAAGTGATCCTCATAATCAAAGCCCCTCATCCTGAAGCCTTTCTTGTGAATCTTTTCTGCACACTCTCATCTTCTGAAATCTCCTATTCAATTGGGATCAAGATCCATGATTACCTTATATAAATATATGCTTTCTTCTCCTAAGTTATGGTGTAATCCATCTCTACAAATAAAACAACAATTTTAAAGCTAGCAGCTATTTTAGTTTATTTTCAAATGTCAAGCAGACCTTCTATAAATAGAGTAAAATTGTCAGACTTAGGCAAGTTCAGAACAGGTAGTTAGTGCCCAAGTAATTTAGTTCATTTTACTCAAACCACACACTGATTGGAAAGCATTGCTCATAAACTAGAAGGAGGTAAGGAACTCAACTGTCTCTTCATATTAATATGCATCTAGAAGCATAAAAACATAGAAAATAGTAGCAGGAGTAGGCCATTTGGCCCTTCAGACATGCTCCATCATTCAATATAATCATAGCTGATCATTCAACTCAATACCCTGTTCCTGCCTTCTCCCCATACCCTTTGATCTCTTTAGCCCTAACAACTATATCTAACTCCTTCTTGAAAACTTCCAATGATTTGGCCTCAACCACTTTCTGTGGCAGAGAATTCCACAACTCTCTGAGTGAAGATATTTCTCCTCATATCCTTCCTTACCCCAATTGTGATCCCTGGTTCTGAACTCCCTAGTCATTGGAAATATCCTTACAACATTTACCCTGTCTTGGGTAACTAATGGGTTAACAAGATGAAGAGGATATTCCATATGCCCCAAAGGTTACCTGTTATGCTAATTTTCTGTCATTCTGTTAAAGGCTGTCACTCTTTGCTACGTTGCAGTTCCATAGGCAATACCTATTGTTTTTTTTCCATCTGGTGGTCATTATTTAGTAGTCAGAACCAACAAAGTTGAGCGCAAACCTTGACCCAAAATCCATAGCTTACAGAGGTTACTATATTGATAAACAATGGGAATCCTAGTTATTCCTTCCTATTCCTAAGGCAGAGCCCAATTGTAGCACCCCAATCACCACATTAAGCTAGCTCCTTGCAAGGATAGCACAAATGTCTTTCCTAGTTTTTATGACTCAGTTGCTCCGTCACTATACCATTCGAGAAATGTAATGAAATTGGATTGAACAGTTTAGCCCCCTCAAATTTTCAGAATGATAATTTTATTAAAATCTTATTCAATGCACTTTACCATTTAAAATAAAACTTTAAGTATCAATTCAGATTATTTTACCAATTCATTGTAAAAGCTCAAGAGCTTCCTCCTCAAGCCAAGGGCTCCAATTAGAAAGTTCAAATGCAAATTTCCTGCAGTTGGCCATTCAATATCCGAATGTACGAAAAACAGTGAGCAGTAGGTGTCCAATTTTCTGATCTCAGATACCATTGAGTGAATCTTGTACATGCCAGTGAAGAAGACAAAAATCTAGGCTATGGCTGTGAATTTTTCAATCTGGAAGAACTTTGAAATAACTTTCCAGCAGATATTCTAAACGCCACCGTGATGATAGTACTATTCTATACCATCAAAAGGGAACAACAATTATGAAAAACATATAAAATATTTTCATGCAGAAAGTGCCTCTTTAACACTGGTTGTTAATGTTAATACCAATGTAATTGGGATCATATGCTAAATTTTACCTGCTTGAAGCTATTTCATGCTCCAACTTTATCCCTCCTTTCTTTCAGCTACTACAGTATCGGCCATCAAAGGCATTCATATTTATCCCACCTGAGCCTTTGAAAGTTAACGTTATGGTTTTGGAAAACACAGGTAAAAAAGCATTGTCAAATGGTTGTATAGATGCTGGTGATGGTAATGCTCTTTTAACCTCCCTAGTCAGCAGCAAGTCTGCCAATGAATGGAAAGGCCTACCATTGTCAATAAGCAGCAGCGAAATTGTATACAAGTCTCAGAGTGTGGAAAAGCCAACAACAAAAGAGTGTGCAAGTAGCAGCGAGAATGTTGTGCAAGCATCCTATCAACCCCAACAAGATAATCATGGAGTTCAATCCCATCCTTCAAATGGAAGGAAGACACCAAGTGATGTTCAATATGGAATCATTGTAATGGAGAACATGATTCAGCCTCAGCAGCAACAAAACATCCAGCTTCCAAGTGAAAAGTCTACAGAACTGCTAAAAATTGGGTACAAATCCCAACTCGCAACAGAGCCTCTGAACAGAAATGCTACACAGCACAGTGTTGCTTATAGCTTCATTGAAACAGATACCACTCGTGGTCCATATTGTAAGCAAGTTTTCAACAGTCTAAATGGGGAGTTTGATGAGCCACAACAGACTATCTACACACACTGTCCAGAGGCAAGTGGCATGAACACACAAACTATAGTGAATGATACCAATTCCACCAGATTTGGACTATATGGACCTATTGATCTGCAAAGTGAAACGCTTTACCTACCAATGATGCATCAGGAACTAGAACAGTGTAATTATAAGTCACAATTTCAACCACAGCTACTAACTGGAAAGACCATACTGTGTGATGATGACCATTGTTCTGGTATAATGCTTAGTAACTTCTACTTACTGAATGAAGAACAACGTGATGAAGGTGAGGAGCCAGATACAACAATATTGGATTGGGACATCAATACTGGAAGGTTGACTATACCAGATTCAGAGAACAATAGTTTTCTGACACAAGCTGCAGGGCCAGAGACTAATCTCCTTTCTTCACTGTATACCAAAGATCTTTCAGATGAGTCAATAATGGCTGAAGAAGATAACTGCATATCACAGTTCCAAAAACACTGGACACTGCATGTACAAACATAGCAAACAATAATCCTTTATCACTGGAAACGTATGCCACGTGTATTTTCTTTAAGATGTACAACCTGGGTGCTTCCATTTCTGCACTTTTTTGTGCTCTCTCACATCAGGTCATGTAACTGTTCAGGCTGAGAAATTAGACAGGTAGCCTGTCCTTTGGCATCTTCCTAAGCCTCCCATTAGGTGAACATGTGGACGCATCCTAGTCAACATCAAAACTCAATAAGTTGGAGGATCAACTGACAACACTGTTACCTGAGTCCTCCCTCAAAATGCCCCTTAAAACGTATTATTTCACCAGTTATCTGTCCAAATATCTTCTTTGTGGTTTTGCATTGAATTTTATTTTATAATGCTCTGGTGAAGTGCTTTCAGACCTTTTACTATGTTAAAGCTGCTGTATAAATATAAGCTGTTATTAACGCTGACAACAGACATGCAACATAAACAGTCAAAACATGATCATCATTAGATTGCAGAGATTATTAGAACTCTTTTTCATAAACTCCATGACTTTATGGGTTTGTTTGCATATTTTAAAATTAATTTTAGAAACATTTTTCCCTAATGTTTCCAACATAGCTTTAGCCCAGATGCAATGAAAATTTAGGTATCCATTACCCCTTGTCTTGGTGTCATTGTCTGAAATAGCAGCTTCAGCAGTGGAGTGACTGGGTGTCACCAGCAAATTTGAAGTAACTGCAGCAGCTACCTCCACATATGTATGTGCACACACAATCCAATGCAAAGGACCATAATTGGCAATACCAGGTTAACCCTAAGGCTGAGTTCTGTAGCTGGCCCATGTACATGGCAAAACCATGCAGTTCACTGGAATTAGAAAATTGCCAAGCAGAAAGTCAGCCAAAACAGCCATTTTGTGTCCAATTAGTATTAATGTGACATAAAGAATTGAATAAGCAGGAAAAATTCATTCAGTAAGACACATGAAATAGCATTGCTGGCAAATATGATTTGATCTATTGCCCATTCACCTCTGGACTTAAATTCCAATCCAAAACTGAATTTCTGAATTTGTTGAGTGTAATGTTTAGAATCATGTCATTCAAGGTCATTGGCGCACAACTCCCCAGTATGAAATGGTCAGTAACTTGATTACTTTACTTGGAAAATCTGTACATTGATGACAAATCAAGTTGCCATTCTAAAATTGTAAGGCTATTGGGTGTTATATATCTTTCTGACCTTTACCTGCTGGTCACTGATCAGTGCTGAGTGTGGGAGTGATTGATAAAAGTGAAAGAATATTCAACACAATGAATACCAAAATTCAAGCAGAAGAAATTACAATTATATATTGCTTGTACCATCTCAGCATGTCTCAAGGCACTTTACTACCAATGAAATACTTTTGAATGTATGGTAACATAGGAAATGTGACAGTCAATTTGTGCACAGCAAGTTCCTGCAACAAATGTGATAATGACCAGATAAATTTTTTTTTGATTGTTTGGGTCTGTCATAGCCTTACACCAGTGGCTTACTCTGTAACTGGGCTAAACTGTTCCCTATACTCCAAACAGGCATTAAAGGTTGATGTGAAATCCTCTTTCTAATGCAAAAGGTAAACATCAATTCAGGCGAAAAAGTGAGGACATAATATGATCTTTACAGGAGAGCTAGCAATATGGCAAAGGGTGATATTCAGAAGAGAACAAAAATAAAAATTGCTAGTAAAACTCAGCAGGTCTGGCAGCATCTATGGAGAGAAAGCAGAGTTAACATTTTGGGTCCAGTGACCCTTCTTCAGAACTGATAGTAACTAGAAAAAGGAGGCATTTATGCTGATGATGGGGGGTGGGAGGGGAGGGGTGGATGTAGAAGTGAACAGGTGGGTGGAAATGGAGCTGGAAAGAGAGAGAGACAGAAAGACAGTTAGGCGCACAAAAAGATGGCTGATAGTAAGCCAGGAAAAGAGAAAAGCTGATAATGGGGGCAAAGAATAGGTGAGAATGGGTTGGCTGTGCTGAAAGCAGCCATGTTATGACAGGGACTATGGTGTGGATGTCGGTAAAGGACATGGAAGAAGGTGTAGGGGGTTGAGAAGACAGCCTGACATCTGGTGCTCAGAAGCACGGCTGTCCACATAGCACTGAATTCTTAAGGAAGCTGCTTCCTCCTCTCCCCTCGGGGAGTTCTGTCTGCATGTGGTGCATACGTCTGTGTGCCACTGCAGGTGCTATCGCCAACCAGCAGTAATATAAACAATTGTCATCCACGGGATATAGGATGGGGCAGGGTTTGGGGAGATTCGAGTTGCAGACTTAGTGGCAGGCAATTACTCTTACCTGCTGTCCTTTCGGCAGAAACAACTCCTTAAGAATGATCCCTTCTTGCTTGTAAATAAGAAAAAAAAATTTTGTATTTTTTCATGCTTTGCAATGCATTGACTGAAATGTCTGCTTAGGTTCAGACATCTGGTTGCAGCAAAGCGATGCACTGTCAAAAAAAATGATAACTTAGAACTGTGAAGAAAATATTGCTTACATGCAGATTGTTTAATGGAGATTTTATAGTTTATAATTCAGGTTTTTAAACTCAGTTGTGTTGTATTTCTCTGGTATGTTCTTGTATTAAACTATGTTGTATACCTGGTTTCTGTTTCATTTTAAGAGTCAGTGTGCAGTCCAACTTGAAATTACTTGATACTCCTCACATAAAGAATGATCTCTGAGTTTACTGAAGGAGAAGAGAATACAGAGATAGAAACAGGAAATATTGTGTTTTAGAGATTTTGGTCCCCAATATCAGATATCTAAACTTAATGTTTCAAAGAACTATTTTAGCAATAGAAGCATATAGTCCCCTTGTTCTTCAAGTAGAGCCTGTCTTTCTTGTTTGTGAATTAGTACCCGATAAACTTCTTTTTTTACTTTGAGGTGATGTGTTGTCTTTCATTCAGAACTTTTAGGAGGGACTGAAAACTATGATTCGTTTTAAGGAAAATCCAGGAATACACAAACCTGTCTATTTTAACGTTTTTAGATTATCCTATCCTGCCTATCCCAGTGTATCACTTGCTCCCTGCACCCAGTTCATGTCAACCTGCTAGTGCATGATCATTTCTGCTCTGCCATGTCGAATTTGAAGCACCATCAAGCCATTAAAACACAATTCCAGTTGAAACTTAATAGTTAAACTCATCCTGTGCTGATATTAAACCCCAATATAAGGAGACCTGTCAAAGTATGGGCCTTCATACTAGCTGACAGTCACCCTTTTGATTCCCAGAAGGTCTGAGTTTCCAATAGACAATTAAATGAGACAGGATTCCTGGTACTTAGGAACTTTTCTGAATGTCTATCATCTTCAATTCACATCCAACGCAAGCATTCACAAATACAAGCAAAATACAGCAGATGCTGGAGGTCTGAAATAAAAACAGAAAGTTCTGAAGAAACTCAGCAGCTCTGGCAACATCTCTGTAGAAGGAAGCAGTTCCAAAGAAGAGTTGTTGGACACAAAACATTAGCTTTGTTTCTCCATCCATAAATGCTGCCAGACCTGCTGAGATTCTTTAGCACCTTGTGTTTTTATACCAACATTCACAAATTTGGGTAAGGTTTGTTAGTTTCCTTTTAAATAGTTTGTTGCTATTTTGATTGTTTTCCAGTATCAATTTTTGGTCATTTTTACATTAAACATTTTGTAGTATGCTTTCTCCCTGATTCTGCCTTTGTAAGCCTCTCAAGCCAATACCTTACTTCTTACTCTGCTACTAACAAATTTTCAATAGCACTTCCCTCTCTCCCCATTTTTGTTGGTCAGAGGAGGAGGGAGGAAGGGAAACAATACAATGAAACAGCACTTAGGGCTTAAATACTCCTTGATACCAGGCCCACGACAATCCACACTTCAGTGCAGGTGACTGCTTCCAGGCTCCTAAAGTGTGCACCAAAGTGATGCCTCTCCCTCTCAGTGGCCCTCTGCTAGACACTTTTCCTCTTGCTGTTCACAGGGGCTGTTGACAGATGATCCGCTCTTAAGTGCAGGTGGCTGCTTCCATCTAAAGTATGTGCCGAAGTAATGCCCCTCCCTCTCAGTGGCCCTCTCCTGGAGAGAAGGAGAGCATCATTTCAGCGCATCACTTCGTCTGGAGATCTTCACTAAAAATCCATAGGCAAAGTCTCTCATATCTGCCCTGGATTTGGTTATTACCGTTAAATTACTTTAATTTCTCTGCCCCAAGACCCCTCAGATTTGGTTAACAACTCATAATCTTCTACATAATTGGTCCTTCCAGTAAGAACTGTCACTCCAAACTCCTTCAGACCAAGATCACTCCAGTTTGGTTGGAATTCTTACAATCCCCAATGTGGCTGAACTATCTGACCTTGATTGTCGGTCTGAGTCAGGCAGACCCATCTTAACCCTTCTCCTGACTGCTGTGAAACCCCTTCAGTTTTATTCCCTTTTTATAGTGATTTATATCAATCACACCAAACGTTTCCCTTATGTTCTTGCTGTTCAGGATGTCTGAGAGCTATTCCTCCTTTTCTATGGAAAAACCAGTCTAGACAAAATAGTGGTTCGAAACATCTCCCCTGTCATTTGGAGATAACATGGCAACAGCACCTAGTCCCCAGATGAACAAACATTTGAATTATCCATTTCCCTCCTCAATGGGAACATCATAGTAACATTGGCCAGGTTCCAATACTATTGTGTCAGGTGACGAATCCTTTGGTTGCTTCAGGTAACGGCATTACCCTGTGCCATTGTCCCATGGAGCAGTCACATGATGTTGAATTCTAAACACTGAAACATTGTCTTTTGCTTAATGCTTGAGTTTAATCCTTTACTGGGTAGCGTGCCTTTGTGTGCTGTGCTGAACATTGGCTTCTATTTGCAGCACTTGAAACCATGGGCTTTGAGGTTTACTTTCATATTTCATACTGTGCAGTTGGATGGGATTCAGATCATGCATCTTTGCACACAGTACTTCTGTCATTCTGTGCTAAGACTTGCTTTTACTGTGCCAAATCTCTGCAGCACTGCAAGTGTGTTGAAATAACAGGATGGGGCTGTCCGATGATTTGCAAAGAGGAACCCCAGTCCCTGATGGATATCACTTGCAGTCACAAAGGCCTGTGTTTACAAACCAGTGCATTTTTTGCTTCAACAGGTCAATGCAGATTTTTCATTATTAAGTGCAGACATGGTTACATGACATGCCGTCTAAAAAAACATGCTGTTGGTGTTATGGTCACCATGAAAATAAACACTTATCTTTCCGAATTAAATCCATGTCACAACAAGATACATCTACTAGATAAAGCAGCCTGCTAGCTAAGTTGTCCAACATCCCTTTGCATGCATCCATACTATTTGTCTCACCACTTCCTTTAAAAATTCTCACCTGAATTCACTATTGGATTTCGCAGCAGCTATCTTATATTGTTGGTTTCAAGCTATGCTCACCCACATATGA